TACTCACCTCTTTTTGGGAAGTGCAAGTGTAAGATAAGTGCTCACCCCTCTTTGGGAAGTACAGATGTAAGATGAGTACTCACCTGTCTTTGGGAAGTGGAGGTGTGAGATGCCGAGCGGGATCACCTGCAGGTACTTGCCGCGGAACTTGCTCGACATGGTGAACTCCTGGTAGCACTCCCAGCCGGCGTCGCCCTCGCAGTGTTGCGCCACCATCGGCGGGTGATGAGACACCTGGCGGACAAGAAACCAAACAGTCATTCACCTGGACACCAACAGGCTCGTACCGCCCGCTAGGCCGCTATCATACTGTGCCCGAGAGCACTCGTATCCCCAGACATAAGCCATGTCCTGATAGTGATATTGCTCCCTGTTTAAATAAGCAGCCTTTATATGTAAACATTAACCGTCAGCTATACAGCCGGGCCACAGGCGTAACGGCACTGTCACCTCGTCAGCCACACGTACCACGGGGCTCGCATGAGCATCGAAATCACTGGGCCAGCGACGAACTCACCGAGGCCCTCCGTTTCCCTCTATTCTGGCGGGGAGGGGGTTTGCCAGTCTATAGTGACGAGCTCAGCCCCGGCGACGCTCCAGGGTGGCTGCCCAGACCAATGTCTCCCCCCATTCATATCATCATTCCGGTTGCGGAAGGTCTCGCTAAGGTCTCTACACGAAGGTCTCTACAAAATAAGCAAACTATCACCGAGGCCCTGTGAACGCGAATCGCAGCATACCTCAAACCCCCACATACTCCGAGGCGGCCATTACCGAGACTCGGGCTACGGAATCGTAGATGGTTGTGGGTGAATCAATGAAAAGCTCGTACCTCCTCGACATCTCGACATTTCATTACCGACTCAGCTGACAGCAGACCTTGAATATCGGAATCGGAAAACAAGAAAATCCATCGACGGGAAAAAAGATATCCATAATCCAACAGATACTTGAGATTGCAGATGAAACTAGCGAGTAGCGACGAACAAACGTCAAACAGTGTCCAAACGCGCCAACAACGGATGTCAAACACCAATCAATCTTATGACAGAGCTATAAAGTCTGGAGTGTGAACCGAGCCACTGACTGTTGTCGCAAGCCAGGTGTGAAATAGTCATAATTTCATCAGTGATAAATACACGCCACAAATCTAGCAGAGAAACCCCGAACAGCCTATGCAATTATGTGGTCTATAAGGCGTTACACTTCGCTGCCTACCCCGCAAAGAACTTCGCACTAGACATCTTTCCCGTTTTCCTTGATAACTTATTTATAGCTAGCTCGTTAAATAACAGAATGCTTCGAAAGCTTGTCAGCACCCTTCCGACACAAACGGTTTCAGCAAGCATGGCAGCTCCTCATTCAATCAAGAGACTGTCAAATGCATCGGATGACATGTGAACACACCATGAAAGTTCACACAGAAAGCAGCGTCGTCTTTTCTTTGAGCGCAGCTTCTTGCCGGATGAATTGGAAAACGACAGTGCATCAATTTCGCCGGGCGGGGCTGTCTGGCGGTGGGAACGGGCGGTGACGTTTCACGTCAGTCCGCGCCGGGATCAGTTGTCTCTTCTCAGCAGAGTTGGCCGCAGAGCGGCGGTGTGCGGTCCGAGGGAGGAAACCCTGCGGTCCGGACAGGGAGCCCTGCGGTTCGGTGGCGGGAGGCGTGGTTACACGGGAGATGGGAGGGCGGCTCCAGCTGCACAAGTCACCCACGACGGCTGGAGTCCATGTCAAATCACCATCAGAAATCTGACACGTCACCTGGCCAGCCGCTGCGTTCCATACTATAAAGGCATCGATGACAGGCCATTGGACACAGCAGAGAGGGTAATGCAATGTAAGGCAATGCAATCTGAAAGGCAAGATACTAACACACCTCGTAGATTCTCATTTTCTGAACGAAAGAGCCGGGAAGTGTTGGGAGGCGAGTCTGAAGGTGAGGATGACGTGCGGCACCAAGGGTTGTCATTCTTGCTCATATTTGAAAACATAATTTATAAGATACTTCTTGAAAAACGCAAACAAGTTAAAAACTGTCTTTGCCTGAAAGAAGAGCATTGAAACATTTTTATCAGGGAACCGCCCTTCTCACAAATAAAGAGTTTCGCTGGCCTGCCTGGCCCCTTTCGTTTTCCTGGCGTCTATACACGCCCAAGCAATATTCCTCACATCCTAGACAACCCAGGGAAAGTGATTTATCGCCCTGGGACATAAAACATCCAGCGCTGTTCCTCCATTGAACCACCATAGTATCATTCCTCCTTTGAACCACCACAATCACCTTTCATTGACGGCAATCAAACCCGGAGAAACAGCCCGCTATGGGACTATGGGTGCCATGAGTCATCTCGATCCACTGTCGTAAGACCACTCTCTCCTTCCTGAATTATTCGCACGTGACTCTGTTGTGAGTAGCTTATTCGAGCAGCTGGCACGCGGTGTGGTTGCCGCCTTTCTGTCCTCGGCGCGGCCTTATGGTCACGACAACGCCCCGCGCTCTCGGTTCGGCTTTCTCGGGATGACCTATGGACAGGGCCATGACTGGAGACGATGCAGATGGCTCGCTGCGCGGCCGATCACCAGGCGGTGGAAAGCCTGGGGCCAAACGGCACGTGGCCGAGCAATTAACAACCACCGGTGTCGAGAGGCCACCAGAAGATGCCACAACGGTACCTCACACTGACTGCGTCTTTCCTCTGGTAGTGGTATAACGAGAAGAAAATGATGACCTGCTGTGGCCTTTAGGAGACGATCGCGATCCCTTCCATTGCATGGGTGAAATACGACCAAAGAAAAGTACGCGTCTAATGGAATGCGAATAAAACACCACTAAGCACATCTATGACATTGTGTAGCCTGGAGTCTGGACACAAAGCAAGAGCGTGGGCGGGCGAAAACAACAGCTAAGTTTCAACACTTTAAAAAAGTAAGGAAGATGAAAATTCTTACCGTGCTTAGGATTAGGTAAGATGTGAAGGGAAGCAACACCTTGAAATGTAAAGATGATCAGACATGTGCATTGTGCATGGATCCGAGAAAATGGATCTGGGATCTGATCCTACGGATCCTGATCTCGGATCCGTCGGGATCACAGATCCAGCCCTTTAATTTATCGAGAGATCCGTAGGGATCATAGATCCGAGTCTAATATTTTTGCTGGAGATCTAGTGAGATCATAGATCCTCATTCATTTTTGTCAACAAAAAAACTCTCCCCAAAAAATAACTCGTTGCAAACGTTCTTATTCAGTGATTTTATGTGATAGCACGTCATAATCCATAGGTTTATGGCACTTATAAGTTATAACATAGAAACACTTGGAAACCTGTTTTCAAATGTTGTGCATGGTAGGATCCACTCAGATCATAGCTTCATGTTCTTAGTTTATCGTTAGATCCTGTGAAATCATAGATCCATAATAAATTTTTCACTCCGGATCCGATGGGATCATAGATCCGAACCTGTACTTTGCTTAGAGATCCACTGATATTATAGATCCATCACTTGGATCCATGCGCATGTCTGAAGATGATATTAAGCAAATCTATGGAAGCAGCTTGTGAAATCTGATCATCCACTTGATGTTTGGCAAGGCTTTGGGAATGGTCACTTAACCCGGCAGTTGCTGGGGTATTTCGCCACCCACCGTTTGCTGGGGGGGGGGGGGGGGGGCGTTAAACGCCCCAGCTGATAACTCGAGAACCAATAGGCGCAGCGAAACGCACGAGGCGGCAAACGAAAGAACGCGACGAGACGCTTCAGATGAGTACTTTAAAGTTGAATTTTGAGGTCACAGGTCGGGTCAAGGTCAGGTCAAACACCTGAAATCGGGCTTTCAGTAGCATGGTCTTCAGGACTTCGCAATGGGCGTCTCTCGTCATAAACTCCGTCAAAACGGTGCACAATCCATCATATAAGGCCTACAAGAGTGTCAGCTCCATGTAGGGGTCAGTCAAGCATAGGTCAGGGTCAATGTCAGGTCAACCGGGTAGGCAAATATCCCCGAAAATCTAAACTGATATTCGCAGCCTGCGACACATGTTTTATGGGTAATTTGGGGCGTAGAACACGATGGTGACATTCATTTTATCATATGTGTACGGGTTTGGCTAAAAAGTTCAATTTAAGAAATGCATGTATCATGATCGTGAAGTAGTCACGAGAAATTGCCAAGATTCAGTTCAAGATTTTGGAATATACGGAACGATAATCAATAATCGAAGATAGCCATTTGATTGTTCATGATATTGGCAGTCTAATGGAGTTTACGGCATGTCTGTATGTCTATTCTGTGATTTTATATGATTTTTTGAACATATGTCGTTTTTGGTCGAAAACTCAGAAATCATGACGTCACTAAAACCTCGATATCTCAAAAATTTTCCGACCGATTGTTTTGAAACTTTGTCACAATACACTTCAATCAATTCCCTACAGGTACCCAAAATTTGGCGCGCCCGCCGTTTTTATGCTATGGCCCGGCGAAAAAAGTGGGGGCGTTTAACGCCCCCCCCCCCCCAGCAACTCGCGGGTTGCAGGCACAATTTTTTAGTCTTCTTTCCTCGACATTGCTGTTCTTATGAACGAAGCGGAGAATTTTTATTTCAAGAACCTTCATATCAGTTTCCGTTCACGCGAAGTCAACGAAATGGCGGCAACCGAGACACTGAGAAACACACCACACGTAAAATCATGGACCAACCATTGTAGTGGAAAGAGTAACCCTAAAGCATCACCTTTTCTAGGTATACAGTCATTCAAATAACAATATACCACATTAATTATTCGAAAGAAGTAAGCATCATATACCAGAGCAAATAGAAGCCCAACATGAATACCTCAACCGGCAAGCCCTCGGGCAATCAGTGAGAAGAAGGAGGAGACTGATTCGTTGACCGCAGGTGGGAGGAGCCACCGAAGGGCGATGGGATGGGGGCGGGCTGGCGGCTACACGAGGAGAGTCGCGTCGGTCGCCGCAGCTTCAGAACCTACCGCGGAGTCGTCAGCGGCGGACCGGCCGACCGAGAGAGGAGGGTGGTGACGCGCTATAGGTGAACGGACAGAAGGGCGCCAGGCGACAGTGTGACTAGTGTCTCAGCGGCGCAGACGGAGTCCACATCAACAGGAGTGAGAACTCGGGTGACATGAGACCAGCGCAGATCATGGTGGGTTTACAAAACTTGTGTTCTGTCATACCGTTTATGTATAAGATAGGGTAGGTATATTTATTCTAAGTGGCAATGTCCATCGACAATCAACCTTTCAAATTAATAAATAAATAACGCATGGCCTCCCCTTCAGATAAGCAATACTGACAATGTGTATGTGCAGTGCAGTACGTGAAAGTTGTGCGTATTTTATCCGCCCAAATGCATCGACAGAGCTCGATACTACCTACCTCAGGGTTCAAGTACTTGAATGTGTCTAATCTTCGCAATTTCCGAAAATTCTATCTCAATTTTTCATCCAGCATCATACGAATGAACACCGGGGACTCAGAGTAACCGTTTCATTTATGCAATGAACGATAATCCAAAGGCACAATACACACTCGATTCGTTAGAATTGAGAAAGGAACTAAAAACGTTTAAATTTGAAGACTTAAAAGGCAAGTGACCAGTCATCGTACAACAACATGATCCCACAAAATCTATCGTAAATTGTTAATGCGATAGTGAAAAGTAACAGAATTTCGGGAAAAAAAACATCGCCCCTTATTTTGAAATAGTATTGAAACAATTAATATGACAGCGGTATTGGGTACGCATGTCGAGGGATTTTTGTCATGTTCATAGGCAAGTTCTTAAAATACTGCCCATTCGTTGCTTCATCCTTTTGTTTATGCCTATGAATATCTTGCCACGAGCAAATGAGCGCAACTGCACCGTTACAATTTGACGCCGTGCGTCCGTTTCACTGCCAGCGCTGCTCGAACAAAACTCCCCGGTAAATAATAAGTGGAAGCGTGCTTCGCACAAAACTCCCCTGCGGTTAATAAGTGGAAGTAATCGTCATCCGCGTCACGCCCGTGAGTCTACAGCTCCATTCGTCTCAGCCGAGGAAGCCGGTGGCCGCTGAAGGAGAACATCACCTACAAGATGCGAGAAATCAAACTGTGAGAAAAAATGGTCTCATGTGAAAGTGGCTCGTTTCCGCAGCGAGCTGATGCAGGGCGCCGGGTAATTATTCGGTAATAACTGGCGGGCGCCCGACGGCAATGGGACGGACAGCAGCCACTGTCGACAGCAGATGGCGTATTTTCTAGCCGCGCTGACAAATACACCGAAACCAGACAGCATGAGGCAAAGACATGTATGTGGCATGAGTCTACATGAGTCTACCAAAGCAGGCTCTGTCTAGTCCCTGCATAGAATTCGTTCTGTGGAAAGATCTGCGAGATCTCCGGAAAGATCATAGCGTGGACTCGTAGCCAAAATCCATCACCGGCAGGACATCATACCCGACCGGCTGTCGCGACTTTCGTTCCCGTCGTCTCGCTAACGATGATCGGCGTCGGTATCGACAGCTGTCGTGTCTGCGCGGACCAGAAGTCTCCACCGCCGGCGGCGACTGACAGTCTGCCGTCAACACGCGGCGCCTGTCTCCTCTCCTCCGGCGGTATTTACAAATGACGCCGGTTTGACGCGTCCGCGCTCGGTGCTTACGAAAGAAATGTTCCCCGGATGATTGCAGGGCGTCTAATAAGATGAACGACCACCCATCACAGAACCGATGACGTCGGGGTTCGCATAGCCGTCACAACGAGGAAAGCAGAAAGGGACGACGAGTCGGTCGTGGCTGCCAGCCGCGGTGGCTTTGGGCTAGCCGCGGCAGATGCAGCTAACCGCATCCTTCGTTCCCACCGCGCTGGGAGCGTATGAAAGTGAAATATACGCCGCAGCCGTTTCATTCAGGATTGGCGCACGCAGCGGTGAAACCGAATTCATAGTCCCTTAAAGGGACAGTATCACCATTTTGATGAAATTTGACATTGCATAGGCCCCACCTTTCTGGTCCGGGAACTGAAGACCGATCCTCGAAGCTCCACACCGTTATCCCGCTATCGCCGCTCAAAGTACGAAAGGTGTACCACACTTTGAATCGTGCTTCACTATCTTCACTGTTTAAATGTTTGCGCCGTTTTGAATTGACCGCCAGTAATAAAACTTTTATCCTGGTCATTTCATCAAATTTTATAAAGCCAAAACGTTTTTCGCACTTATTCATCACCGTTAAATTCATTAAATAGTCGTAGGCAATTTCCGCTGTTTCCTTCGGATTCTAGCGGCTCAACAAAGGAATTCCTCCAGCTTGAATCACAATCTCCCTCCAATGTATGACGTTTATCACGTGATTGTCACGTGATATTTTCTCCCATTGTCAATTGTCACGTCCAATTGTCACTCCCTCCAATTGTCACGTTATATTTTTATATGGCAATACCTAAGGCTACCTCTCCCTAAGGACAACTCAATCAGAAGAACGACCGCGTGAGCGTAGCGTCAATAATGTATTATCTGCGCCAGTTCTGTAGTAATTTTGCATGCTTCCAAACTGGCGGCCATGCTTGTATAGTGGTGGTTCGCTCATGAAAATGAATCATGAAAATGAAATGTGGTTGCAATATTTTTCACCGAGTTCGGTCCTCAAGCTATGTTTTTCTGATTCAGAAAAATAAGAAATGCTAGTAAAAAAAAAAAAATCAGCTCCATACATAGATTTTTTTTCGATGATACTGTCCCTTTAAGAGCTGCTGTTATGTGCGATATCAGCAATTCACACGACAAATCGGGTTTCACACCTCATTTAATAACTCCAGTCATTCGGCACACTCAGCTACTTTCAATGAGCACCTATGCATTGAAGTCTGTGGCTGAAGAAGACGGGAAAGGAGAGAGGGATGCGGGTGCCGTCACATCCAACTCATCATACACCTGTCTGTGGTCGATGGTGAAAACGGCACAGAATAGCGGCCACTTCCGAGCCCCGGTGAGCCAGTATCGACACCGATGACTCGTTACGGACACCCGCTGTTGCTGTGTCAATGATCGAAGTATCTGCCACCATCCCGTCGTATCGGGCTGAAGTATCCGCTGTTACATCCATCACCCGACATGCCGCATGCTACTATATCGGTAGTATCTAATCATGTACAACTTATCAAGCTCGGGTAGTTCACTAGCCAAAATTTAGCACTGACTTAGAGATTCATAACAGTGACGCAGTCACGCCTCACTGGAAACCCGTCTACAAACGACATTCTTCTACCACCAACACTGAGCACTTTACGACTCCCGTTCGATTTTGTCCATCGGGAGGTGATGAGCGCCGAGCCGCGTGGATCACTTTCCCGAGCGGCCAGTGTCCGGGCGAGGAGCGGCAGCTGCCGTCCCACCCCCGGCGCCTTAGGAGCTGACTCACGGTGGAGCAGACAGCTGGCCGCCCGACGCGGCGGGCCGGCAGCTGGAGGTCCGCGCATTAGCCGCGCCGGGGTTTCTTTAGCGGTAACGCTGTGGTTTGACGGCTCGAACAGGTGGAATGGATGGCAGCGGGTGAAAAACAAGCGTGGGAGTTTACAAGTTTGATAACCGATCCTGAAATATGTAAAACTTTCAGCAAAGCCTCGGGCGCTCAGAAATGAGCGCGCTCTATAACCAGAGGCCAATAAAACTGATGATGCCTGCAAGTCACAGATACAGCTGTTGTCTGACCGTCCTGTCAATGACTGTTCAGTACTCAGCGTTCAAAGATACTCAAAGGCTTCTGGTTCTAACAGTTCCGTCCACCTCTGTTCGCAGATACGACTGTTGTGTCTGACCGCGGTCGTCTGCTCCGTGGCGGCCGCTGCAGCTGTCAGAAGGCCTGCTGCTGCCGTCAGGATGCCTGCCGCTGCCCACAGACTGCCTGCTGCTGCCGCCAGGATGTCTGCCGCAGCTGCCAGGATGCCTGCCGCTGCTGTCAGAATGCCTGCCGCCGATCAGATGGCCGCGACCTCCACCGAGACGTCTGTAGTGTCGGCGCCAACCGAGGCCGAGGCACGCTCCATCCGACCAGCCGGAGGTCCCCGGCACCGCGTCAAACAGTTAAAACAGAGCCACGCCATGCGCTGGGTCGGCTTCGGTACGCCGCCTACCCTGTGGAAGGTGCCGAAGCCGCCGGTGACACCCGCCTGGCGCTTCGAGCCGAGCGTCAGCTCTGGCTCCAGTTTCTGGCCCAACATCATGCACGCCATGGGAGATCACCCGCAGAAGACGGCCAGCGACAAACCGGAGACTAAAACGGCCACCGCAGCTGCTGGTGCAGCTAAATCGGCCTCCGCGGCAGTTACCGCCAAGTCCGCCGCTAGCGCTGATTCAAAGGTGTCTCGTTTGAACGCACTGACATCCAACACGTACCAGCCTGACGCCGGGACAGCAGTGGGGTCCGACTGGGTAGCGACACAGGTGGCTCGTCCAGCCGCCGCTCGGCGAGCCACCGAGACCAGCACGACTAGTGGAACCGAGAGTGCCACCCAGGGCCCGGCCGCCGTGACCAGTACGTCAGCTACAGCACGGCGCGGTCAACAGTCCGGCGGCTGGCTGCGCGTGTTCTCCGTTCAGCCTCCGACCGACGACACAGCGGCGGCAGACTCGGCCACCGACCGGCAGGATTTGGGTGAGGACACGGAGGGGTCCCGCCGACCGCGCGGCCCCCCGACGCAGCAGTACCGCGCCGAGTATGTGGTGGAGCCGCCGGCCGGCGGAGCGGTGATCGACAGTCCGCAGCAGTTCCCCGTGCAGCAGGTGCCGTCCGTGCCGCAGCACCGGCCGGGCCGCCGCCAGCCGCCCCGCCGCGGGTTCATGGACAACATGCTAACGCGACTGTTCGGCAGCAGCAGCCCGCAGCTACAGCGGCAGCGGCCCGGATCGCACCGCCCGAGCGCGCATCGCCAGCGACCCGCGCCGCAGCAGCAGTTCCGGCAGCAGAGTCGCCCTGCACAGCAGCAACAGCAAAACAACCTCCCGCAGCTGGACAACTTCCAAGATCAGGAGAAAAGCACCCAACAGCAGAACAACTCCCAGCAGCAGACCGCTCCTAAACAGCAGCAGGAGCCACAACAGCGGGAGACACAGCAGCAGGAGACTCAGCAGCAAGAGAACACCTTCCAGCAGCAGCATCAGCTGTTCCAACAGCCTCAGCTGGAAAATCTACAGCAGTTTACCCAGCAGCAACTCGACCAGCCGCCGTTCGGCCAGCAGCAGTTTGCCGGCGCGCCGTTCTCCGTTGCTGATCAGTTTTCTCCCAGCGTCCCGGTCGGCGCGGACCCGACTCACTTCCGTCCCGTGCAGGTCACCAAGCAGCAGCAGCCCCTCCAGCAGCGCCCGCGTCAGCCGCAGCCTCAGCAGTACCCGGAGACGGAGAGCGGATTCAGCGTCTCCTCTCAGTTCCCTCACTACAGTCCCGCTGCCGCCGGTCCGGCGTCCGTCGACGCTGTTGAACAATTCGAGCCGGTACGTCTGGCTCCGGTGGGCCAGTCTCTGAACGACAGTCCGGCGAGCCGGACGGCAGCGCTGACGGCTGCCTACCTGCAGAACCCACAGAGCGGCACCAGACGTGACGACGACACCACCTCTGATGACGACGTGGTGGAGCTCGTCATCGAGTACGATAACGACCTGGAGGGTATCGTCGACGAGCTACTGCGCGAGGTGCGCGGCAGGAGCGGCGGGGGCGAGCGGGCGGCGGCCGACCGGGAGCCGGAGCCGGCCGCCAGCCAGCTGCGGCGCCGCCCGTTCACTGTTCAGCAGCTGGATCAGCGGCTTGGGCTGGCGCACCAGCCCTACTACCACATCGCCATGGCGCTGCACGGCCTGACGCAGGGCCAGAGCCGACGCTGATGTCGCTCTGTCACAGACGGGGTGTTATTAGGGGAGGTTAGCTGTAAGGCAGCAACATTCGTAGGCGGAAGATGTGGATTATCATTCATCACACCAATGATCTAATTCGAGGCCTTGTGAGGCTTCGTTTACATTTTAGCCTAATGCAAAGAAGTTAAGAGGTGACGAGTAAGGTTCATGTATTATCCCGAATGTCGCGCTCGTCAGCTCTCGTGAAGATATGATTAGCAGGCTATCTGCTCAGCTCTTAGCCATTCATCATAAGCCTGAATCGTTACATTATCTCATTACTGAGTATTTATCCCATTGTATTATACACATCGTGGCATGTTGATTGTTATATGGACGCTCAGCACTGGCGTGTCAAATAAATGAAATGTGTAATGACTTCCAAACTCTTTCATCACGAACCACTGCGTCGGAGCGTTTCGGTTCCTTACCGGGAATGATCATTTTGGTACATCGTTTGTCATCATTTGACACGGACTATAACAACCCATTTATCACCATATTTCAACGCCTTCCACTAACCCACGGAATGGAACCACTACGCACTGATCTTCTACGACTATAAGCAAACCGATAAACAAGCATCAAAGTTAAAATGCCCGCTACTTTCTCGACAAAAAAGTACTCTACGTTTTAAAGTCATGTACCGCTCTAAAAATGACCGATACGCACACTGCGTACTGCATAGGCACACCTATACGCACACCAGTGACGGTCTTGTCACGCAAGCCAGCGCGGCGTGACGGTGCTAATAAGGGAGCCGAGAGCCAGCACCCTGGATCGGACGTCGCCACCAGCCGCGTCCCCAGGAAAAGTGAAACGGAACCGTGTGTGCCGCCAGCGCGATACGCGTCACACAGTCATGGTCACAAGACGTGACGACGGGGCGGGACGCATCGACATGACAGTACCGCGTCGGACAATATAGCCTGGGAAGCATCCACTCCCTAGGGAGTTCGGGATGACTTTATAATCACTAATCTACGAAGAAAAAATGAATTGCCACAACTGACAGAACACTAATGAGTAGCAAAATAGTGCTACAAGTGTCTGAGCGGGAAAGGCTGGTTTAGTTTCATTAAAATGCGTTTGCTGTTTTGTGTTATGAAATGGCAGTAGGAGTCGCAGTAGTGCGGTAGCGTGGCCAGCGCGCAGGCAACGCATAACACAGTCGATTAACCAAAAACATAATATATTCCTGCCCGGGGCCGGGATGATTCAATAAATGTCACCGAGGTTTTTTAGCGAAAACTCCGAGGGCCGTTAGGCCCGAGGTGCTTTTCGCTAAAAAAGCGAGGTGACATTTATTGAATTCCCGGCCTTAGGGCTGGAAGGTGTTTCCCATACCTGCCAAAAAGCTCACAACTATAATTGATAGTGACGTCAGCAGCCGTGTGGTTCAACGCGTTTAACCACACCCCTTGGCCCAATCTTATAAACGCCGTGAAATGGATATGGCAGCACTCTAAGGCTGGATATATAGTACGCAATCTTATAAAGCTCTGTGAAATCGAAAACACGGCACGCTCTTTACGGTTTTGGTAACCGCCAGTTTTGGATGTGCCGTAGAATGATTTCAGCCGTGAGCAGCTGTGCACATCTCAAAACACAAACAATAATCAGCTGATTGCGGCATCGTCGGCACCTATTTCACGCCAGAATTTGTGGCGTACTCTGACGAGTTTCTCAGACAGTTTAATTCATTTAAGATAAATTCAATGTTTTTATGATATAAATATGCAATTTTCTACGTTATGATATTTTTAAGATTAATACATCCTCCACATATTAACTCAGGTTCATTATAATGATGCTTATTATACAGACAACGATCAATTTCAAAATACGCATTTTCAGGAACTAAATGCACACTAAAACACATAAAAACGAGTGTTCATCGTTATATGGATTTATTTTTCAAATTAAAAGGGGATTTTTAAGAGGATTTTAGCACCAGTAACCATCATAGATTTTCGGCAGCCACTGCATTATAGAATCGGTATGGGTCTTTCGCCTATTCTCACGTCTCACGTATGACACAAATAACGGGCACTTCATGGCTTCTGATTAGATATTTAAATTAATGATGATATACCTTAGTTTGTCAAAAAAATTGTTAATTCCTACTCACTATTCGTATCTCCTCACTTTCTGTCTGGCACAGTTACGGATCAATGTGTTGTTTCTTCTCTTCCTGCATCTCGATCTGACTTCTGAGCCGAGTATTTTTCTTGATATGCTTTGATATGTAGACTGGGTTCTTCAATCTTTTGAGGAATTGCTTTTTAGCTTTAGGTTAGGTAACAGGTACCTACCTATGCTTGAATAAGAAGGAAAATAAGCTGTAACTTGACCTAATTCAGTTCATGTACGTAGTCTTCGAATTTTAGTAGTTTATCTTCAAGAAGGAAAATGTCAAGAGCTTAGGACAAGAAGGAAAATAAGCTATATCTTGAATTGATCCAGTTAATGTACGATATCCTGATGCTCAAATTGTAGGAGCTTCATTGTCAACGGCATTACTTAAATTACTGAAACAGTAGCCGAGCTATAATTAAATGACTATTTAAATAATTCTTTAACAAGTTTATTGCAATGCCTTAACAGCAAATAAATGCAAATGATAAGTAGAAGAAATACTTTATTCACTCGAATTTCTGAGCGCGAGAATGCCCTCGCTGAAATTTATTTGGTCGGCAATCCACTTTTCAGGAGAATTCTTCAAGCATGTTTGTGTTTTCCATAGTTTGCTATCACGTTTTCCATAAATAACTTATTCATTACACATATGTCTGTCTCTAAAAGAAATAAATGCCCCATAAAAATTAAAACACATAACTTTTGCTGTTCGCAAACAGTACGCATAATTTCCAATAGCGACGGCGACAAGACATTGACCAATCACGTTGCGTGTTTCCTGCTGGCGTTGATTTGTACTGTGGGCAAAATGGCGTGAATAGAATTACCATACTATTCTCTTTATAAGATTGCGTGAATAGGGTGCCGTAAATAGAGTGGGGTGGAATGATAGTACGCCATTTGGTAGCACAACCTTTATAAGATTGGGCCCTTGAACCACACGGCTGGCAATATTAAAGCACTGCATTAAACTTTGAAAAGTGTGGTACAGTGCACGTGCCATTAAAATGCCTGGATGTCTCGATTTAATCATGCAATGTAGCAGGTATGGGAAAACCCATAACCGAGCCGATTAGATCTAGACGGCCGGTGTACGGATCAAAAACCGATAAGCATGCGCACCTATTCTAATGTTTTCGTCGCAAAAATCGATCGGGCTTCAGTTCCAACAGTCGTTTCGTTCACTCCCAAGCCGTGTTCATTGTTCACTCTTTCACTTGCATCGTGGGTAGAACGGAAAGCGTGCGCAACACGACTCGGGAAAGGTGCCAAAGTGGGCACAGCCAAACACCCGAGTAATGCGCAATGTCCACCCTAGCATGGCACACACGCACGCACACCTCTCTCCTCTCTAACCCGCTCGTGACCGGTCTCAGCACCGAGCGTGCGAGCTGCCGGGAGACGGTAGGATTGTGTAACAGCGAACGGCAGCCATCGGTGACCGTCCGGAAACCACCACATCTGGCCACTGTCCACCCGCTCTCCCATAGCTGAAAACACCACCGGAGACCATGGCGCAAAAGACCACTTAGCCAGCGCAACGACATCGGTGGGGAGACAGAGCTTTCGCAGGCGACGAGCGAGTGCAGCCGGTTACGTCAAAGCAGGCGCAAGAGCTTTGGGTTGCCTTACGTCGCAATGGAACTGTCGGGCAGGAATTTATTTCAGCCATGGCTTTCCCACACACAACAGAAATTCGGCAATGATAAGCAAGATGACGAGAATGATCGATCATTCACTTGTGTCAGCTAAATTGGAAAGGTTTCGGTAACATAACACTGTGATGTAACATACAGGCAACGATCTTCTTTCTACCGTCAAATGGCCCTTACCTTGCGCCTTCATCCTGGCCATTAGCACCCCATCAACATCACAGCCAAGCAGGCTCGAACCCATCCAAAAGATTTTCCTTCCATGGGATAGGATAGGATAGGATAGGATAGCATAGGATAGGATAGCATAGCATAGCATAGTATAGGGTAGGGTAATCTCGTCCATTCTACAGTTGGAACCATTCCCACCACTGCTCACCGCTCAGTGCTCACCATTGGCTTTCCTATCACAGACGCCCACTCGTCCAATGTCCATCTCACAGCCACGTTACGTTCAGTGCCCTTTGCTAGTTTTCGGGTAATTAAGTGACCATCAGCACGCGTCTGTGCATACTGCGGTCAGCTGGCGAGCGGCACGGTCACAGTCGGCTGTGGTTTGTGGTCGCTGACGACAGATAATGATGGACGCGTCTCAGAGCGACAGGTTTCACGAAAGGAAATCCGGTCACACGACAGTTTGCGGCAGGCTATTTTAAGAGATACTGTATGCTAAATGAGTGTTTTGGGAGATACTCCTGTGAATACTTTCTAGCTCGACTCACCTCCGATGACCTAAGCTCCATGACAATCCATCGGAAAAAGTAGCACAGGAAAAACAATACAGCTTCGTAGTTCGTATGCGAACATGGATCCACACTGGACGTGTTTTGAAAGAGCGAATGCGCGAGGTTCAAAATTGAATCGGGCACGCTCCGTGCCTAATGCATATTGTATAGACCCAGCGACAAAAAGCGAAATAACCCAAGCCCTAATATGGCGTGACAGTTCGTCTCCAAGTGGTGCCCAGTAACGTGTTTACTGTTCAATAACCTGCAACAATAACGCGTTCATTGTTCTCTTCCAGCCTGTCAATCCTGTCCTTTTCCTAATGTTTCAAACCTAGCGTAAGGCCTATCAAGCAAAATAACTAGGCATTTGGTACATGATGATTTATGATTTAACAAAAAGCCACGATGCGAATCCAGACTTCAAAGGACTGCTGGCTCCTTACAGATAGCGAGTTCACATCCTCAACCGATGCTGCGGAGAAATGATGCTCACAAATCGGATAACGCCACCTAGTGGACCTGTCGCCAACCATGCAGCGGCCT